GCCTTTATCCGTGGGCAGCCTCTTGGATCCAGACTCGTGAGCGGAAATCGAACATGAGATCAGGCTGTTGAAATTGAAGAAAGTCACAGTAGCAGATAAAATTTCACCAGCCCTTTTCAGATTCGTGGGACCAGCAGTTGTGGACGATTTGTACAATTTACTGGGGAAGCTGTGGGAGTATGAGACTGCCCCAACTGACTGAAGCGGTCCCGTTATAGTTCCTTTTTCAAATAGGGCACATATTTAGAATACCGCAATCATAGAGGAATCAGTCTGATTCCAAGTTCCACCAAATTATTTACGTTTGTAGTTCTCCACAGACTGGCTGGCACCCGTCAAAACCAAATTCGCGAGGAGCAAGCCGGGCTTCGTCGACATCGAGGCTGCATTGACCACATCTTTACATCAGTTAGTGGAACACCGTCATACATATTGGTGACCCACCGTAGTCGTGTTTCGTGATATCAAATGTGTCTTCCATACGATGAATCGATGCGCTCTTTGGCATTATCTGCTAAGTAAACGTGTGCCCGATAGGTAACTAAACATTGTCAGATCGCCATACGCGCATAGTTCTGCCAGAGTGAGGGTTTTTATGGAAATTGTCACCGCCTTTCAATATCTCCAGCAGCGGGATAAAAGGTTGTCCGCTGTCACCCTTAACTTCGCCGTAGACAAAGTCAGGGAAACCGCGTTCGCTGGACACGGCCTACAAGGTGTGAAGCTGCTTCATGGCGATCGACTTTTTGTCTTGGAGTACGCCGACGACATTGTCATAGTCTATGAGTTATTAGACTGGATAGATTACCACTGGATGTCAGTGAGGTTTCGTGCTATGATTTGTATCCTCGAAATGCGAGGTGCTTCCCAGAGATTGGCAGGAAACCACCACTGTGCTAAACTTTGCTGAATATCAATTAGAAGTTGTCCAGAAATTCAAGTATATGGGAGGTTATATTAGCGCCTGTGGAATAGAAGATGAGACCACGAGAAGTGCAGCAAAGCTCGAGACGCTTTGGCTAAACTCCGCCACCTGTTGTGCCGCCGCAACATCACTCTGGCGCTGAGGGGTAAAATTTACAATGCAGCTGTGCGTTCAACCCTCCTGTAGGGTTGCGAAACCTGGTCCACCAGGTCGATAGACATAAACGGCTAGTAACGTCCGATCATCGCTGCCTTCGCAGTGCAGTTCATACATGTTGGAAATCCCGCGTGAGAAATGAACGTGTTCGGTGTCTGTATATGGTGCAGGAAGAGCGAGTGAACCGCACAGCCCCATTATTTGACGCACCAGGCTCCATTGGTAGAGTCAGGTAGTGTGCATGCCAGCACACCAACTCCCACGTCGTGCGTTGTTTGCTCGACCGGAGTGTGAGGGAAGAAGAGATGGGTCTAAGTGAGAACTTGGTCAAGATGAATGAAGTGCCTCACTTCGAAATTGGCGTCCGTTGGTGTTTCCCGACTGCCGGACTGAAGTCCGGACGATGAAAAAGTTTGGTGGCATACACTCATTGACATGGCGAAGAGCAAACCTCAATGGCGTTTTCGTTGTGAGTTTGTTCGTTTAATCTCGTGTCTTTTTGTATTGCGGCACATTGGCTGAAGTGTGTTTCTCATCCTCTGCTAACGTGCATTGCTGATGATATTTTATGAGGCCGCGCGTCAAGTTAACATAACCAAGCAATATGTTCAACTTCACTTACTGTCCTTCGTTATCTAAACGGTGCAAATACGTCTATTATGTACTCGAAATGGAGTTAGATACCACATGGATTCAATAAAGTGGTACGGTATACCGATGCATTACCGAGGCCTCCCACTCTGTGTTGATCCTGGGAGTATGATTATGAGACAGATCATGATAAACTGATGGCCCCATCTTAATTCCCCGCCTCACTGAGCAACGAGCATCTGGGATGTTAGAAGAGCAGACAAGAATCTGACCAGGACAAGCCTGTACGTTTTCACTCGAAACCAAAAGCTGTTTTAAGGTTAGGTGGTTTAGAGGACCTTGCATACATAATCAAGCCACTGAAAGTTTGGTCTGAAGAACTTCGGTGCTTAGTGGATTGATAAAAAAGACGTACTAATTTGCGCAGATTTGTGCGCGTGCCACGTGCCCTCGTTCCTAGTTTCCCTTATTGGAGGTTGGATAGTGTAAGGTTCGCCGAGAGAAGTGTAAACAACCACTAGACTGAGTTCAGAGAGGTTTGGAAACAATCGGTTGGTATAGTAGTTTAATAACGTTTCGCCCTCGACACAAGGGCTTCGTCAGACCACGTGTTGTGTCGAGGGCGAAAGGTTACCAAACTACTATACCAACCGATTGTTTCCAAATCTCTCTGAACTCATGACGACTCGATCGGTTCCAAGTATATTCCAAGAAGTTGAAACCACTAGACTGAGTGACCAATGATCAATGTTTAATGGTAAATTGTGGAGCGTAACGTGTCCCGCCAGATGGCCGGTTACTAATTCTAAAATGAAAACGAAAAACAGCAGTTAACAGTAAACCAGCATTAACAGTGAACCTGCCGATCAAAAGTTTGTCTGTATGAGTCGTTTACACGGCTTTACGTAAATCGCGAGGCTACTGCCTTTGGCCTACCAAACAAAACGCGTGTGTGTCGGTGCGGTTTGGTTTTCTGGTGTTTGTATAAGGCACGTATGTTCACTGTTCGCACGAGTGATCAAAATGTGTCCGCCGGAGTGACCGTTGGAGCTCCCTGAGTGACCAATTTTTGTACCACTGGTGGTCCCAATTGCACACCTTTCTGACGACTTTTGGTCAGGCTGAAGGTTTTTTCCAACCCAGCATTACCATGTAGCTTGAATGCATTTTTTTAATTGCAAACACCGTCAACATTAAGCCGAAATGGATCCTTAAATTGTAATTAGGCAATAATACAGCCGTCAAACTAAACCGAAAATGCTTTTGAGTGACTAAACGTCGTCCAAAAGGTGTCCAATTGAAACAGCCGAGGACACAAAAACTGGTCACTCAGGGCGTTCAAACGTTCACTCGCGCTGATTGACAATTTCCTTAAAAAGTAACGACTTTTACGCAAAGTACGGTGGTACTAAAGATGTACAGTCCTAGTTAACCGCAGATCTAGACTGATCACACCATTTGTTTTCACATTAACCTTTTGTCTTTGGGATTGACTGAAAACAAATCCAAAGGGGACGAGAACTGTCCATCTGTGCGGTCAGGGTTATATGATGTAGTGCAATGGGACCAGCACAATATCGACATACAATGAACATGAGATATTCACGTTTTCAGTATTTAGTGACAATGGAGTTTATTACTGTATACATATTCTGATGGTCCATATGTTTTAATGATACTACAACCTGTCCGCTTTCGAATTCTCTGTGAGTTGTGCTTTATGCGCTTGCTAATCCGCAGTTCTGTACAATACACGTTGGGTACAGAAAGGTCCACACTTATGATGAATCGTTACTTGTAGTTGTTCCTATTGGTCCTCGTCACAAAGAGGATCCGAGTTCCGCTCTAAGCACAGGATCTTTCGTCAGGGCCAATGTAGGAGCTGAGATAACAGCTTCCAGGAGGTAAGTATCCGAACGGAAAACGCGTATGGAGAAATCCTGTTGACACTAGATGGCTGTCTTGTCATGTCATTTTGAGACAGTGGCCTCTCAGTCTATCGTTATGGTTGAGCTTAAACATGGGATAGCACGAGTGACCACAGTTGCTTAGATCTGGTAAACAATAATACGGCCACCATGCAAACGCCGATAGCGTCCAGAGAACTTTTAGTATTCTTAGTCGCCACGCCTATCAATCGTCTGTCCTTAGATCGTCGACGCTATCAAATAGTCACAAATACATGTGTCAGCTGTACGCCGTAACGGCGCTTCGCTGCCGCGCAACCACCACCAGTCGCGCGCGGGCTGAGTATACCGCGAGGACGCCCAACCCTATGCGGATAGTCACAACCACAACAGCACACAAAGGCACAAGCTACAAAGCGACACATATACACAATTACATATACAGCCATACAGACTCTTACTGTTATGGCAAACATGTTGTATTTTTGTACCTTGTTGTTCACACTTTGTTATCATAAAATGATCATGCCTGTAAAAGCGTGCCTCGCGTAGACGAGAAAAAAAAAATTTATTTATTTATATTGCACCATTATCGGTGTCATCGGACATTCACGAGTCCAGAACTGGACTCAGATCGGAAGGCACAAAACCAAAAATATCATAGAACTTATTGATTTCTATTTGGTTTAACAACTAAATGGGCACCTTTGTCCAGCCAGTTTATGTCAATATAATCGCACTTGTAGTTGCTACCTCGTTGCTTCACCATCATTAAGTAAGCACCTAGTAACGCGAGTTACAGTGTTTGCGTATATGCAACGCAGTATGCATACTTGCTTGCGTGTGTGCTGATTTGCCTGGGTTTCACAATCACATTACTACGAAGCTTTTTGAGTGTCCGATTTGCGTCCGGAAAATGTCTAGTCGGGACTCACATCGGATACCAAAAGGAATCTCATCAGACACTCGTGCCCACAGAGGAACTGGCATAGCTCTTTGACGTCTATAGTGGACTGACATAGTGGAATATCAAAAACCGAGAGAGCACGCTTCTGCCATGAGTACCATGGTTGAATTGCATGTTCCAAATGAGGATGTGGGTATGCTGATGTGACATGTGTATGTCCGTGTGCTTAGTTTAGTTGATGTGCTATTTCAACTGCGCTCATTTCATGATGCTATATATTCACATACTTTGTAGTAGGCACTAGAAAATATATAGAGAAATCATTTTGGAATTAAACCGTGTAGCATCATTGTGTTAACTTTTCTGCTCGGGAACTAGTTGTTTCAACTATGGTATACGTGCTAACAAAGTTTGCCGAAAAGGAGAAGTTAAGAGATTTCTCAGGCGTTCTGACAATTGTTTGATATCAGGCATATTGTAGCAACTGAAACGATGCACCTAAAACACAACTCACCATACTCCTATTCTGTCATGTGTATCAGCTGTTTCCAAGTAGAAATTTCGGGCCGAAAGCGATGATAGTCGTAAGCTCTCAAAACAAGAAAAATGTTCTTCTTTATGACCCCATCGATCTGATAATATGAAATTGGGGGAATTGTTATGGTATTATTACGGAACGTGATAGGGAAAGGTATATCTGTGGACCGAAAGATCAAGTAAAAAGATTAACGGCAAATAGAGTGCATGGAATGCGAAAACGACGTTTTTACGCGCACAGTAGAACAGTAGTAATAGCAGAGTCTCTGTTGTAAAGTACCTGAACGGATACCAATCACGCGATGCTGTATTGCGAGCAAATGCTCTCTGTGTCAGATGACGAGTGATCGGTGCAATGAGAGTAGGAATATGATAGGCATTATGCTGTCAGCATATGTTTGAGCCTAAACAATCTAGTAACACGCTGTCTGCATGCTGTCAGACATGCCACAGCTGCTGTCTGTACGGCAACAGGCGGTATATGTTATCTGGATATACTAGCAAAGTTGGGATACCAAGAGTTTACGTATTGCTACGAAGTGATTTGCCGAAAGAACAGATGGAACTGTTTGCTACCTGAATGTCCATCGTGAGGACTAGTCTGGATCGTCAAGAGCATAAGATACAAGATGTGCGCGATAAAAAGTGCGACATCAGCCACAGATCATCGGAACAGAAGAATAACTAACACAATCCGGACAATAAGGTTAATATTATCCAAACAAGAAGTGTGGATAAAGTAAGCGTTTTGTATCTACTCAGATCTGTGGCTCTCGCAGTTTCAAGTTGATAACCTAGCGATTGGTAAGCACCTTCAACGGGGTCCAAAAACAACGATGAAGGAAAATATAACGATGCACATATGTCAGCTGCTATTCGCCTGCAACAACACCTTCCATGACCGGTCCGGTAAATTTTTGCACTTGACAGGTAGAGAAAGCAGAACTGCCATTCGAACCCAGAACGAAGGGGCTGCACGCTGAAAGTTTTACTCATAAGCCACCGAGATTAACTTCAAGGTGAATCCTCCTTCCGTCTAAAACTGCGTGTCGCGACCCACTCACAACAAAAGGTGGCTATTACATGAAAAGGATATTCGAATTGTGCTTCCAGTGTTTTTGACACATGAAACACAAAATAAAGAGATACGTAAATGCACGAATCAAAACAAATCATCCCGGCGTTATAGCGTGTGCGAGCTTTAAAGATGTCATAAATATGAGGAAATCACAGAGCTTATAATCGTCAGCCATCACCATCACCACTAATACTACCATCGTTAAAAGCATTACAATTGTAATCATCACCAGCATCAGTCAAACGTTGCCGGCGGAGCACAATGCCTACTGATTAGTGCGGCAGTCATCAATCACTACATCTAGAGGTCAAATCCTAGTTATTACAATCTGTACCTGAGATAACAATCCTAAAACGCACCGCTTCGGGTGCGGTCCCAGTAATCGTGGTGGTTGAAGTTTACTACAATGTGAACCACCGGGTTGCCTTTCAAAATCCAACATGTGGTGGGTACTCCAAAACCCGACAATGCATAAATACCTATTTTCTAAGCAAACGTATAAGAACATTTTGACTAAGTAACTGGTCGAAGAGAGAATCGATGTGCCATACCCTCGCAGACGTGCCACGCAAGTGGTGATAAAATGCAGAATATCAATCTAACTGCAACATGAAGCTCCGCATGAATAGCAACCTTGAACTTACGAGCATGTTCGTCCAGACACTGTCAAAACAATAGCTGATACTTCCCCAATATGCTATCAGAATCATTTAAGAGGTCAATTCAGCAAGGCAGACTGTCACGCGATCGAAAGAAGGGGCCCATCTTTGCGATTCATAAAGAGGGTACTAAATCAGTACCTTTTAACTATATGCCTGTCAGTTTGATTAGTGTTCAAGTTAAATGTCTCCGAAATCTGGATTCGTAAGTAATTAGTTGTTCGCAATCCGACCGGAGTGGAACAGTACCCCCTGAGTACCAATATACATCCGCATTTGACCTACAGTGACTATAACTTTGCATTGTAGACGTCTGTGGAGTTAGTCACTGCGCATTACCGCTGTAGTGAACATGAAATATTCACAATTGCAGTATTTTGAGACACCGGATATGATTCATGTCTATATCTACTAATTGGGCATTTAGTTTACTGATGGTACAATCCCGATCACCTGCTCTCTCCTCATGAATCGCGCAGTTACACTGCTGTCTGCTCGTGCTTACCTGCTCTCCATTCTTTGTAGTTTTTGCCAATACACATTGGGTCCAGCCGATCTAACTGTTCTCCGTATTACCGTACTCGGAACGCCTATTACGTGACACCGCTTGCGACGAGTACCTGAATAACACACCAAAACTGGTGACCCCGAGTATGAGCAAGGTTTCGCCATTGCCGAAATTTGCTTTGGTGAACTCGTTCCTCTTTTCATGAAAGTGTCTTTCTGCGACTTCTACTCTATGATATTTTATGGCTTACCTATTAGTGTTACATCGTCGCCTGTCCCTCCTACCTTATTTGCTGACCCTCTTTTTGGTTTGCTTTGTTAGAATATGAGGTTTTGCAGCATAAGATTATTTCTGACTAATCTAAGTGTGGTCAACTGCTGAGTATCTTCCGCTGGGACTTCGATTTAAAGCTCAGAGTCATTGTTTTTAGCCCAAATAAGGATATTTCGTAGATGTCTCTTAAGCAAAAGATCGTGATCGGACTGGAACAACCAGCGACCGCGCGAATCAAACAGCCATTCCCCGACTTGCGTCTAGGCGATAAGAGGCCACCCACCTTATTGGGTGTGATGAAGACTCCCCGGCTCCTCTGTAATGCACGAATCCATCCTCCTGGAACTATGGTTGTAGCCCCTACCCGAAATAGCCCTAGCTATTGTCATATGCGCCAAGGTCTTTTCCCTCATTCTAGCCACGCAACTAGCTGATGCGATCATGGATCTTCATGGTAAGCAAGTAGATTGCGCAACGCCACCCGCTACACATACGCCGAGTAGCCCTAATGTGTCTCAGCAGCCACTTACTTCATGCAGGCATAATGCAGCCCCTACTTCAAAACCCTCTGGACATGCCGCAGTAATAAATGTACTAGAGGCATTACGCAGCGATTTCAATTTCTCTTCAGCACTCGATAACTTACCGGTAGCTAAGAGCAAGTCGGCCAAGCCCAGCAGTCTACCATGCAACAAACTATGCTGGTATCACCAACAATTACGCCCCCAGGCGAAGTAATGTAGTACACCTTGCACTTCCCCTCAACTCTATCAGGGAAACTTCCCAGCTGCAAATCATTTCCCAATAGCGTCACCGGTCACATTTCCGGTAGTAGCCTCCTTTACGTTCAGGACTGCAAATCTGGGACCGCGTTCCTAGTTGATAACGGGGCTTATCTAAGTGTGGTTTCTATCACATCTGGGGAGACTCAGCCGTCCACTCTCAGTTTTCGTGCAGCCAACGACACACTCATCCCTACCTAAAGGCAACGCTCTCTGACTATGAACTTAGGTCTCCGTAGAACATTTCGCCAGGTATCTATTATTTCCGCCGCTCCCTTTTCTAGCATCGGCATAGACATACTCAGACGAGAGAGTAGTCAACTTCGCAACGACGACCAGGGTACCCAGAACCAATGCCGGCATATTAGCTATCACCCCGATCTACGCTTTTCCACAGACCTCTCCCGACTATACCGACCTCTTCTCTCCTCAGGACGGTGGGACTTCGAAGTCGGCCGTGGATGTTCTCGTTGGAATATTATTTTGACTACAGACCGCGGATGGCATATTTGATTTGTATCCATGAAACGAGTTGTCTTTCTGAACTGGCATCAAGGTCAACTACGTACTACACCGTCAATCGTTTGAAAGGGTTATGGGTTACGGCCTCAAGTTTGTGCGTAATCGAATATGGTCAAAAGGAAAGAAGCACCATTAAAACAACTTGGAAAAAAGAGAAGAATCGTGCGGGTTAGCAACCTGACCTCAGCCGTTATTCTGTCGATAAAGCGCAAGTTCCATTGATAATTTCCAACAATGTGCGTTTGCTTGTTGGTAAAATCGGTGACCTTGTGGCAGATTAGCCCCGGACAAACTCAAAGTGGCCAAGGTGGAATTCGAGCGAATGCGCTAACGACGAACATTTTCGTCATCTTGACGCTCTTTTCGAACGATTGGCGCAACATGGGGTTAGTGTCAACCCCGACAAATATGAAGTTGACCAAAATACCATTGACTTCAGTGGCCCCGAGATATCCGCTGCTGGTAGCGAAGCTTTGTCAGACAAAATCCAGGCACTGAAAGACTATCTTACCATAGTTCATTCAAACAGATTCGCCGATTCATTGATTTGGCCAACTAGTATCGACGCTTCAATCCTAACTGCGGGGGTATTGTGCAACCGATGACAGACATGCTTCCCGGTGAACAACTTACTATTCACTTTGTAGACGACTCGGAACTGTCTTACGCGAGGTGCATGGATGCTATCTCTAACATAGCGCTTCTTGCCTACCCAGTCCTAACTGCGCATCCGACACCGCCGTCGGTGCTGTTCTTCAACAGCTCATTAACCATCGATGGATAGCACTTGGTTTCTTATTGAAACGTTTCTATCCTGTTGCATCGAGTTACAGCATCTTCGGTAGGGAACTACTCGCAATGTACCTAGGTATCTGTCACTTACGTCACTACGTTGAAGGTCGACATTTTGCAGTTTTCACTGACCACAAACCATTGATCTACGCAAGCAGTGGCATAACCAACAAGTATTATCCGCGAGAAGCCAGACACCTGGACTACGTCCCTCAGTTCAGGACAGACGTATGACATGTCACAGGTGCTCTATTACGAATCCACCCGAGCAGCTTAGCACTGGGACCCAACATCGACCTAGCCGCCATTGCTGCTGATCAAAAAGCTGATTCCGAAAAAAACAAGTCTCGACGCAACACCTCTGACTGTCCGGTATAACAGGCGCCTCAGCTTGTGCCTGCACGGCCAGCACCGCAACTCTAGGACAGTCACTCCATTGCAGCAAAACCTATGGCCACAACCGACCTCACCCCTACTATCA